TTTGGATGAGCCTGGATCATCCAGCTATGACAATGTTTGGATGTCAGGAACAGATTTTGTTGGTGGTTGGGGGTCCCAGAAAGATGGAGCCAGAGGGCGCAAGATTTCATCCTGCTAATCAAAACAGCATGCAATTTAAAACTTATGAATTGTTTATCTCTGGAATTTTCCATTTAATATTTTTGGACCAACATTGACCATAAGTAGCTGAAACCAAGGATGAGGGTGGACCACTGTATCTCCAGTCTTAGCAATAAATGACCCAAAGACAAACAATTGGCAAGTGGCAGAACCAAGATTTGTTTTCAGTGTTTTTCTATTTCAGTTCCAGAGCCCTCTTTGGGGATACACAAATTAGAGATCAGCAGCAAAGAAAATTACAAGAGTCAATTAGAATCACAACCAATTAATCTAGTCTATAGAATTTAAACTATGCCTTAAGACATAGCCTACAAGACTGAGACATAGTTATTGCATTGTATTACAAATTCACGTTTCATTATTACTCTCTGAGCACTGAACTGGTAAGACTTTTGTATTTAATTCATCAGTGAATATTTATTGACCACTATTCTGTGTGGGAATATTGAATTAGACATTGTTTTCTTTCTTTTTATTAAAATTAACTTGTATAGTGAGTGCCCAGTCATTCCAGCAAGTATTTTGTTGCCTGCTTTTCCATGTTTCCTCTATAGAGGAGGGGAAAGTCTGAAGACTTGGTAAGGCAATTCTCTGTTCTTCAAACTCTGTTACAAAGTTCCATTCTCTCATTTATAAAATGGGTATCACTTATTGACCATCTACTATATGCTAGGTGTTCTACATACATTACTGGTAACCTTCACATCTTTGTGGCTTTGTGTGGGTATAGTCATCCTCATTTTTATGAATGTATAAAAATGTCCCTACTTACCTCAGAGATATTCCAAGTTTGGTTCTAGACTACCACAGTAAAGGAATATGGCAATAAAGTGAGTCACATGTATTTTTTTTTAGTTTCCCAAAGCATATAAAATTCATGTTTACACTGTACTGTGGTCAGTTAACTTTGAAATTGCATTATGTCTTAAAAAATGTACATGCCTTAATTTAAAAAATGCTTTTTTTGGTTTAAAAAATGATAGCCATCATCTGTGCCTTCAGCAAGTCATAAAGTTTTTGCTGACTGATCAAGGTGGTGATTGCTGAGGTTGGGGTGGCTCTGGCAACTTTTTGAAATAAGACAGCAATGTAGTTTGCTACATCAATTGACCCTTCCTTTCACCTAAACACTTACAGGTCAATGGAGGGTTATTAATTGGCTTAATTTCAATATCATTGTGTCTCAGGAAATAAGGAGGCCTGAGGAGAGGGAGGGAGGTGAGCATTCAGAACACAGATTTATCATTTAAGTTTGCCGTCTTACATGGTGTGGTTCATAGTGCTCCTAAACAGTTGCCATAGACAACTGATTGCACAACACTGTAATAAATATTATAATAATGAAAAAGCTTGAAATATGGTGACACAGAGACCCAAAGTGAGCAAATGCTATTGGAAAAAACAGTATAGGTACATATGTTCAACTCAGGGTTACCACAAACTTTCAATCTGAAGAAGAAACAGTATCTGTGAAGTTCAGCAAAACGAGGTATGCCTGTATAGCATAGCGGTGAAACAAGACGAGATAGCCTTGGATCAACAGCAGGACCTTCAATCAAAACTACCTGAGATTGAATCTGACTCCATACTTACTCCGACCAGTTATTTCATTTCTGTCTTCTCCCTTACGTGCATCTCTAAAATGGGATAAAATTATTTGAACTCACAGAATTTTGGTGTTAAGTGAATTAACATCTGTAAATGGCTTACAGTGCCAGGGCTTCTGTTGGTAGTGAATGTTAGTTATTCATTTGGTGTGTCCTGGAGCTGAATCTGAGCACCTCTTTTTCTTCTTTTTATGTATATCTGTACTCCCAAAGTGACCTCATTTACTTCTATGGTTTTAAATATAAAACTATACTGATGACTCCAAAATTTATATTTCCTGCCAAAATGATACTTTTCAAGTGTCAGTCAGCTCATGTCACTTCATTCAAAACCCTCCAGTGATTTCTTATCTCTGAAAAAGCCAAAGCCCTAATAAGGGCCTGTAAGGCCCTATCTGATCTGTCCTACTTTTCCAGTCTGTCTCCCACCATTTTCCACTCACTTTCTTTTCTCCAGCCATACAGGTTGAAGACACCCAAACACTCTTGCTCCTCAGGCTCTTTGCATTGGGCTTCCCTGGTGGCTCAGCTGGTGGAGAATACACCTGCAATGTGGGATACCTGGGTTCGATCCCTAAGTTGGGAAGATCCCCTGGAGAAGGGAATGGCTACTTCCCTTCCATGGAATTCCATGGACTATATTGTCCATGGGGTCCAAAAGAGTTGGACATGACTGAGCGACTTTCACTTTCACTTTCTTTCAGGTTATGTTTTTACCCAGATATTCAAATGACACATTCCTTCACTTCTTTCAGGTCTTTGCTCAGATCCCATCTTACTGGAGAGGCCGTCTATGACCACTTAAAGAGGAGTTCCCTTTCTTTTTCTTCTAGCTTTTCTTTTTTCCCATTGTGATGTCTATTGTCATTGTTGTTCTTCAGTGGCTAACTTGTGTTTGAAGTTTTGTGACCCCATTGACTGTAGCCTGCCAGGATCCTCTGTCCATGGGGTTTCCTAGGCAAGAATACTGGAGTGGGTTGCCATTTCCTTCTCCAGGGGATCTTCCCGACCTAGAGATTGAACCTGCATTTCCTGCATCAGCAGGCAGATTCTTTACCACCAGAGAAGCCTATGGTATCTATTACCATTATGTTTATTTTGTTTTTTTAATGATCTGTTTTGCCCTCTAGAATGTGAGCTGTATTAAAGCAGGAACTTTGGTTTGTTCACAGCCCCTAAATCAAGGGCCTGGCACATGGCAGACATTCAGTGAATATCTGTTGTCCAGCTAGTAAGCATCAGAGCTTCAAACCCAAGTCAGGCTCCCCTACGTCTCCTGCTTGTCTGCCGCACTCGTCTGCATCCCACATCAGGAAAGATACAAAACCATTAAAATATACATCAATTCTGATACTTGTCTTTAAGGTAGAAATTTTATGCATATTAGGATTGATTTGCTGTTCAGCATAATTTAACAAATATTTACTGTACACCACAAATACATGTTCTTAAATAAGAATCAATGACCAACCCACTAAAATAGGTAGAAATTTACCCAAGAATCTAGAAGCCCGAGAAAGGTAAATATTTGTACTTATGGATCTCTAAGTTCAGAATTATTACATGCAACTAAAACTAATACAATGGTATATGTAAATTATATCTCAATTTTTTAACACCATTTTTAAAAAATCTCGAATTATTAGGTCTATTTTTTTGTATCAGACTAGAACACTTGGTCATCCCTGAAACTTTCTTTCCCCATCTTTCTCATTCTCTGTCCACTCATTTACTTAAGCCAAATTTCTAGACACTTTTCCAGATTGTTCTTTCTCCCTTCCTTCACATCTAGTTCATTTGCAAAGATTGTAAACTTTACCAACAAAACTTATCTTGAGACCATTTTCTTCTCATCAGCTTTACCTCTCTAAAACCTAGGCCAAGGACAACTCCACCTGCCAAACTACCAGCGGGATTTCCCACGTGCTTTCCTCATCTTCCCATTTTCCACTGAGAAGCCAGAGTGATCTTATAAAAATGTAAATCACTTGTCACTTCCCTGCCTAAAAGCTTCAGTGGTTTCCTTTTGTTATTCGTAAGTTATTTCTTTTAGAAAAACATCCAAACCCTACCCTAGCCTACAAGCCCTACTTGATTTGGTACTGATCACCAGTCCGATCTTCTCTCTTAGCATTTTCCCCATTACTCATACACTCAAGTCTCTTTGGCCTTTCATTTCTAGGAGGACAATGAACCCCTCCTTGCCCCAGAATATTTGTACTAGCAACTCCTTGTCATTTAGGTCACAGTTTAAATTTCACCACCCCAGAGATGCCTTCCCTAACTTCTTCATTTCAATTAGTCCCCTCTCCTCCATTCACCCTTTGTTCTGTCAGAGAGTGAATTGCATTCACTTATTGTGCATGGCACAATCACCATCTAATATTTTCCTTCTCTGTTTATTGTGTGTCTCTTTCCAGTAGAATGTAAACTTAATGAAGACTGAGACTTTGCTTTATCAGCAGGGTTTATATCAAAGCCTAACACATCGTGGGCACTCAAACACTTATGAATGGGTGAATCTTTGTCTGAATTTTGATAGCTTATGTAAGATCACAGTAGTTTCTAACACAGCTTTAGTAACTCTGTGACATCCGTGTTCTCATTGCTTCAATGCACAAAAGGAGCAGTATGCCAGGAGAAGGATTCAGCTTCCTCCTATATCTTGGCAACCACTTGGTCAAGCTCTGGACTCAGTTCAGTAGTTCAAACCCATGAGATTAAGAGGGGAAAGACAGGCAGAAATGAACACTCCCCAACTGATCAATTGTCATTTCTCACTTAAAATTTTGAGAGGGAGAGAAAGAAAACAGTTCTTAAAATCAAACACTCTTGGAGCTGCAAATGTTAGAGAAAGTTGATGTCGACAGAAAAAAAATGTTCAATTAGGGGAGGAGAACTAATTCAGAAGGAGAAAAGAGAAAGGGGTCACACCATGCTGATCGTTGCCTGTTGGAGTGTTCAGGGTTGGGCTTGGGTACCACATCTTGATTTGTAGGTAAACACGACGGACGAGAGGGTGAGGTGGGGTAGGGTCAGAGAAAGGGAGGAGACGGACACCAGCTCGAGAGATGCGAAAGAACCTAGAAGGAAAGCAGAGCGGAGCTGAGCATATACAAAAGCAGCCTCGCATCTTGCCGGAGCTGCAAGCGTTAAAGGGAGGCGGGGAGTGACGCGGTTTGCGTCTGGAGCGGCTCCTCGGAGTCCACAGCATCCACCGCCGGAGCCTCGCCTTCCTTTCTCCCTCTGCAGACACATCGAGAGACAAAAAGAGAGGCGACCCCTGGGCCAGCGCGAGGGACCCGCCGGCGCCATGACCGAGACCACCAAGACGCACGTTATCTTGCTCGCCTGCGGCAGCTTCAATCCCATCACCAAAGGGCACATTCAGATGTTCGGTGAGTCCTCCCGCCCACCCTCGGAGACTGCTTCCGCCTCTCTCCTTTCCCCGGCACCTGTGTTTTCCAGGGCGTGTGACGGTTTGGCGACTGCCCATCCGGAGGGCTGTGCTGGCTGATCCAGATGGTGGGAGGTCAGCCCCTCTATCCCGGGCTCCCGGCAGGGGATGCCAGCTGCTCTTTCGAGGCGTCACTCTCTCGGGCCAGACCCGGCTTGCTGGGGGGCCATGGGGTGGGGGAGGGGAGGGGCTGGAGGCGAGTGTTGTTATGGGTTGGGTGGGAGGTCGAGGTTTGGGGACTGGGGTGCGGTGGTTGATTTGGCGACTTGGCGGGTGAGGATCCGGATGGGGGAAGAGGCTGGGGCGCGGAGAAGGGAGAAGGGGGTCGCAGAAAACGTGCAATTTGTTTAGGCTGGGCTGAAAGCTCGAAGGAGTTAATGATGTATAGGCTTCGGAGACACAAACACACACACCACACACCAGGAACTGGCCTGGGCTCAAGGAGATTCGTTTATGGTTTGGCTGATGGTTTGGGGGGCGGCCCGGGGCAGATGTTGAGGGTTGTGGACCGTGTATTGCCCGCGCGAGGCGGATGGCTTAGCGAATGTGGAGGTGGGGGGACAGGGGGCGGAGGCCTGGGCTCCGCTGCCGGGACCAGTCGCCTAGGAAGGGGAGGAGGCGGGGCGGTCGCTGCGGGCGGCCCTCTGCGAGCCGGTGTTGAAGGATGGGGCCCAAGTTGGCTGAGTCTCTGCCCAGGGCGGTGATGGCACCCGCAAGGCTTGCGGCGTGCGAGTGTGTGTATGAGAGAGAGAGAGAGAGAGAGAGAGAGAGTGTGTGTGTGTGCGTGTGTGTGTGTGTGTGTGTGTGTGTGTGTGTGTTGGGGCGGGGAGAGAGGGCATCCTCGCGCGTTTTGTTTGTTTTTTTTTTTCCAGAGGCTTTGGGGCGGAGAGACGGAGCGAGCCGGGGCTCCTGGCTGCTGGGTTGGGATTCAGAAGTGGCGAGGGAAAGGTGATCCTTGCCCGGGGGCGGTCTCGGGCCACGGATGCTGCTCCGGTGCTGGTGCCGGAGGACCCGAAGGTGCGGGAGCGTGCGCGTTTAGACCCCGAGGAAGGGACGCGGAGGTCACTGTAGAAGCAAGGGTTGAGAAGTTAGAAGTTGGGGTGTTTTTTTTTCTGGCACTGAGGGAAAAGAGGAAAGCGAGTGGGCCGGGGGTCGATGAGTGAAGGACAGGAGGCCTCAACCCGGCGGGCCAGCGAGGCGCTGTCCGGAGACGGTGGTGCTGAAACTCAGGGCGCGCCGGAGCTGCCCGCCGGCACAAGTGTTTACCCTGAGCCTGAGGAATGCGTGGGCCCTCCTAAGGGCTGTTTAATGAACGCTACAATGTATCGGTAAAGACAGGGCAAGGTGGCTTCGAAGAAAAATATTCCTCTTAAACCTAACAGATGAGTTGAACTAGGCACCCTTAATAAAAACCTCATGAAAAGAGTATACTTTGAGCAGAGTGCGCATCGGATAGGCACGTTCACAGGATCCAAGGAGGGAGACTGAGGTAGCCATCCCTTCCTCACCGCGGTACCTTCACTTTTAAAAGCGTTGGTCAGGAGCTGGTGCCAGCTTACCTATGAAAGACTGTTGTTCAAGCATGAGGGTAGAGCAGAGCATGTCATCAGCCTTCTTAGAGAGTATCAGTGCCCTGGGAACACTCTCTTTTCACCTTCTTTTGGTTTTGGTGTCTTCACCCCTGTCCTCTGTGAGTCTTTCCTCTAGCCGTTTTATGTTGCCATACTTTATTCCTGTCAGTTACCCAGAGAGGGAGGGACTTTCCTGTGGAATTCCATAGCTCTAGAAATCTTTAGTGGGCCAGCAGGTACTCTCCCTTTCTTCCTGGAGCCAAGGATGTACTTAATTCCACTTGTTTTGTATTGCAAGAGGGGCAGATGTAGACTAAGAACAAAGGATTTTGCCTTGAGGTTTTGTTAAGTTGCTGCTGACCTGCCAATTCTCCATAACTTTAGAGGAGAGAATATAAGGAAATAAAAATGGATTAAACCAGAGAGGTTTAGACTTTTTGACAGTAGTGATTTTTGCTTGCCAGTGGGACTGAGGAAGAGGAGAGAATATCTGTCAACAAAGCCTTTTAAGTGTCCATTATGTGTAGTCCAAAGAGCAACATGAGAGAGGATATGGTGTGCCCACTGTGGCTTTAAGGAGCTTATAACCTAATGAAGGATTTAGCACACATACATTGAAAAGGGAACAAGAACCCAAAGTACATATTAAGCTATTTTTTGTAGAATCTCTTATGGGAATCTTTGAGCTAGTGATAAGTTTTCTTAATTTATTTTTGTAAAGAAGCTTCTGATTTACAAAGCATTTTCATTGTGTATGTCTCTTATTCCTAATAAGAAGCTTATAAGAAAGGCACCATTATTTCCATTTTACAAACAAGAAACTGATGTTCAGAGGCCAAGTAGCTTTCTTAAGTAGCTTAAGTGACATGGAGAGTGGGTGGCAGAAATGAGACTTGAACCCCACATTTCAGATTCCTCTTGAATAGGCCTTTGCACTGTACCAAAATCAGAAAGAAGTGCTCACTAATCTTCTGACTGTATAATTCCATGAACTCTGTTTTCTTCAAGCATATACTAACAGATTAGAATTAAATTTGCTATCAACTAAGTTTCCTAAATATGCATTTCCTTAAGAGCTCTTCCCCATTTCTAAAGAAATCAATAATTCATGATCTATTTTCTCTTTTTAAATGACTTTAAAAAATTTCCCCCCAATAATACAGAATAATTAATGCAATAAAACAATCAAACTTTTTAAAGATTCTTGAAATTAGTAATAGCAAAACCTTTAAAAGACCCAAACAAGGACTTCCCTAGTGGTCCAGTGACTAAGACCCTGCCATCCCAATGCAGGGTGCCTAGATTCCATCCCTTGTTAGAGAACTAGATCCCATGTACTACAGCTGAGTTCACATGCTGCAACTAAAAGAACCTGCATGCCCCAGTGAAGATCAAAAATCCCACATGCTGCAAATAAGACCTGCCGCAGTCAAACAAAAAAAGATTTCCCCATGGCTCAGTGGTAAAAAAAAAAATCCACCTGCAGCACACGAGACGTGGCAGGAGCCTCAACAGGAGCCGCAGGTTCGATCCCTTGGTCAGGAAGATCCCCTGGAGGAAGGCATGGCAACCCACTCCAGTATTCTTGCCTGGGAAATCCATGGACAGAGGGCTACAGTCTCTGGGGTTGCAAAAGAATCGAATATGGCTGAGAGACTAAACAACAAACAGCAAAAAATAAATTTAATTAAGACCCAAATAGGACTTTGAAATTAGACACCTTTAATAGAGCTCCTATATTTTGAAATACAATTGCTCACCAAAGAAAAGAGACTGTAAACAAACAAACAAACAAAAAAGTGACATTCAGAACTAAAAACTCACTGTTCATCTCTGTAAAGTAGGACTTGTACAGTTCTCAATATTTGTAAAATATTTCAGAATGAACTTGTCCTTTGATTCTGAAAGGGGAATTGATATTATTCTTGTTTATGATTATGTAAACATGTTAAGAAAAGATCAGTATTTGTGATAGAGATATTTGACACCTATATACTTAACTGTAACTAAAATGCTTTCAGGGATGAATAAAAGTTTTTGGCAAAGTAGACCCATAAACCAATGGTGTCTTATTTCATGTCTGCCTTATTACATACAAAAGTAACATGAGGCTAGAAAGTCTCTCTTTTTCTTTTTAAACTGTAAATTCTTAGTTATTAAGCATGAGAGATTATATTTCAGTAAAACTTTCTTTGCATTTGTATTGCCATGTTTGTCAATAAATATGCCAGTGGGAGAGATCTCTGGGTCAGGAAGATCCCCTGGAGGAGACAACGGCAACCCACTCCAGTATTCTTGCCTGGAGAATCCCCATGGACAGAAAAGCCTGGCAGCCTACAGTCCATGGGGGTTGCAAAGAGTCAGACATGAGTGAAGCAACTTGGCATGCATGCATGCATGCATGCCAGTGGGAGATCAGATAGTACGTTTAAACAGAAAAGTAAGAAAGGACTGATCAGATTAACTTCCATGAAAAGTAAAGGAATTGAGGGACTTGATCACAGAAGAAATGTGTCCTGTTTATTTGATGAGTGCAAAGTAACCGGATTTTCCAGTTTTTCTGCTTGAAAATATTTTTGAATTGAACAGTTGGGTTTTTTGAAAAGAGACATAATCCAATTCTGTTTCTCTTGAAAACTAATGAAGACAGCTTTCTACTTGCTGTGAAATTGGAATTGCAGCCCCTATTGCTACAGCTAGAATCATAAGAAAAATAAATTTGAGTTGCTACCAATATATAGAGAACAGTCTACAATCAAGAAATTGTTTAGTGTGTTTGAAATGCATATTTTTAAAAAGCTCATTAAGCAGTGTGGCTCATTAAATGGTGCTTTTGCACCACTATTTGATACCACCCTGTGAGTGAAACTGGTTAGTGTTATCATCACTCCTTTATAAACAGCAAAGAAGAGGAACAGGTGTAGGTCATTTGTTCACAGTCATAAAGCAAAAGTCAAATAGAATCAAGTTCCTGATAAACAGACTCGGTATCTCACCAAAGACACTTTTTTATTCCTTTAATTGCAACAGCATTTATGAAAAGAGGAGCCATTGAACTTAGTTATCAACAAAGGGTAATGAGAACTTTATAAATTGTTTTCCTTTGCAACACAAACCACCAACAAAAAATATTCAGTAAAGATATCTGTTCCCAATATCTTATGCTTATAATAAGGAAAAAATGAAAGTGAAAGTCTCTCAGTCATGTTCAACTCTTTGCAACCCCATGAACTGTAGTCTGCCAGGCTCCTCTGTCCATGGAATTCTCCAAGCCAGGATACTGGAGTGGGTAGCTGTTCCCTTCTCCAAGGAATCTTCCCAACCCAAGTCTCCCACATTGCAGGCAGATTCTTTACTGTCTGAGCCACCA